TGAAGTCTTTTCTACCAGACAAAGGTGAAATATTAAAGTAGTTTTATAGTCTTTCACGTATGCCTGTTTCATTGTTTATACTGCCATCAAAGTTTCTTCTTTTGCAACAGTACATGTTCTACTATGCTCATGTTTCGTCCAAAATCAACTAAAAAACACCCTTTATTTCTTTCTTTTTTCTGTTTTCCTATTAATCTTCCAAACTAATTCATATTCTGAAAAATATAATGCCGTAAGAGTCTTGGATTTTAGTAAGCACCAAAATATTTTCAACCTGTCTACAATTTCTTTGCAAGTAACCGTACCGCTGGCCTAATGGTTAGAGCGTCCGCCTAGAATGCGGGAGGTCGGTTCGAAAACTGGTTGAGTCATACCTACGACGTTTTAAATAATGGTAGTTACATTTTCCTCGCTAGACGCTCAGCCTTAAGAGGTCAGTATTGGGACTGACTGGCCTGGTGTCAGGATAATGTGACTGGGTGGAACACCATGCTACGTGTCTGTGAAATGATGTTTCAGTGCTAGACATCAGTAGTTATCAACTGCTACACTGCAGCCATCGTAGCGAGATGATTGAAAATTTGTAAATCTTCGCTAAACATCCAAAATCACACACACATAAAGACACATACACTTTGTAAGTAACTTCAACAAAATTATAACTCAAAACTTGTTTTGATTTATTTAGTTTCATCTAGGAAATTTTCAAAAACAAAATAGCCAAGTATTTTTATGCACATTTGCACACAAGATTTTTTTCAACGGTCTAATCTTACGAGTAATAAATCGTTTTATTGAATATCAAAAACTGAGTTTTAGTGTTCACACTAATTTAGGATGTTCGTGAATGCTGAGCATTGTCCGTTAAGTGTAACACTTTTAACAGTAACTCAATCGTAACGTATATTAGACTGTACAAAATGTTTTCTCCTCCTGCTATAGGATGATTTCTATGATCAATAATGGTTGTCGCGCAACGATCAACGACAGTGTTGACGGTATTCAACGATCAACGACAGTGTTAACGGTATTCAACGATCAACGACAGTGTTAACGGTATTCAACGATCAACGACAGTGTTAACGATATACAATGATCATCGACAGTGTTAACGGTATACAACAGTCCGAATGTAAAATTTATATCATTCACTCTGTTTCACATGGTGGAAGTCGGTTGCATCAACTTTCATGTGAAACAGAGCTTTATGATGTCATCCCAAAGACTGGTCAATTCTGTAAAATCCTCAATGCCCTAGCCAGTACTTTGGTTATTAATTCCACCCCCACCACCAATACCTCCTGCATTCTAGGCGGACGCTCTAACCATTTGGCCACCGGTGCGGTTACTTGCAAGAAATTGTAGACCGGTTGGAGAGATTTTGGTGCTTATTGAAATCCAAGACTCTTAGCGGCATTATATTTTTCAGAATATGAATTAGTTTGGAATGATAATAGTATTCTAATGTATGGAAAACAGAAAAAAGAAAGAAATAAAGGGTGTTTTTTAGTTGATTTTGGACGAAACATGAGCATAGTAGAACATGTACTGTTGCAAAAGAAGAAATTTTGATGGCAGTAAAAGCAATGAAAAGGCATGATATTAAAAGGGACTTTATCCACTGTGATTTTAAGATTATATTATAACTTGTATTCATGAAAATACATCCCATTTAACAAACAAAACTAATACAAAAATCGAAATATATACATATTATCATTATGTCTTAATTTGTGTTTCAGTATGGAAAAGTTATTCACAATCATATTTTTAATCTCTCTCTCTCTCTCTCTCTCTCTCTCTCTCTCTCTCTCTCTCTCTCTCTCTCTCTCATGATGAACAGATCTTAAAATATGTTAATATATTTAAGTAAATAATGTTAAGGTGCCATACAAGAACGCCTCTCCACCCCAAGAAATACCCAAAATGAATAAAAAGAACCCAAAAAGCAGTGAAAAGGGCTTCAAGTAATTAACTTTTAAAAATAGTTTTGCACCAATAAATGAACCAACATAGAAACAGGCATACGTGAAAGACTATAAAACTACTTTAATATTTCACCTTTGTCTGGTAGAAAAGACTTCATTGTGCATGTTATCTACTGATCTGAACATAAACGTGAAAGTGCATCAATATCATGACGTGAGACTTAAACAGGTTTGTTTCGTTTGAAAGTGCGTTTCCTGGCTGACAGTGAGGTGTGTATGGAAGCTTTATTTCTCATGATAAATTATATTTGCTTTGAGATTAAAACAAAATAAAAACAAAATATAAAACCTGGTACTAAAAGGGACTTAAATTTAATTGTATAATGATGAATAAGATCTGAACAGAGATAGAACTGTCAGAACTACACGGAATCAAATCAAATATTGAAAAGTATATAATGTCTATTTGACCACACTTTTATACCATTTACACAAAGCATAATCGTGAATATTTTGTACGTTCTTTTCCTTATCAACAGTAAAGGTATTGTTCGGTGATAATTAGTTACTTAAAGGTTTTTTATTAAAATTTTGTTTTTATGTTCAAATAGAATTTTGTGTTAATTATTTACAATATGTTCAAATATCGGGGAGGTATATGCCTCGAATTAGCCAATAGATTGTTTTAAAATCTCTGATTTGGGCACTATTAGCACGAATTTACCTGGATGTTTTATTTGGGTCTGCTTTCTTACTTAGCGCTTTGTCTGAAAGCAAAGTTCAAGTATCTGACATCAATAACAACCTTGGGTTTTCCTATATTGCTAATTATAGCTTGTTTTATTCCTTTAGTACTTCCTGAATAAGCATCTGTTGGGGGATTTACCTAAGAAAACCAGTTTTTATAGGTCACCAAAGATTTACCTAGTATTTACGAATATCAAGAAGTAACATATAGGTTATCATTTTATATATTATTATCGAAGTTAGTGTCCTCATAACAATTATATTCATCATTATTATTTTTCTTATGGATAAACTGTTATTATTATTATTATTAATTATTATTATTATTATTATTATTATTATTATTATTATTATTATTATTATTATTATTATTATTATTATTATTATTATTATTATTGTTGTTGTTGTTGTTATTAATGACGAAATATGATTTGATTAAGAAATTTATTTGTATATTACTCCACTGACGCTGTGTTTGAAATTTTATGATTTTACCTTTAATTTTTTATTTTTATCATCAATCTTCTTATTCTTTAATTACACTTTGGTCTTTGCTTAACAAAATTTGGAGTACAGGACATAAACAAAACAAGTTTCATCAATCTGAGCTGCAATGCTTAATGTGTGACGCTAAGTCGCGCATATCTAGACACATGTTATCTTGCATTCATATATATAGGCAACATATGAAGCAATGACGTGATCATCCGAGAGATAGATTCATTTAAATCCTAAATAAACTAACATTGCAGATTGCAAGAAACCAGACAGTCTTTAAGATCTCCAAGATAGTCTTGATCACCGATGCTATAACACTTCAGCAAGACTAGATTATATCCACTATCAACTTTCGAAACACTCTCCTGATTCAGCTCTCAATATACGACTAAACATTTTGAAGCTCAATTAATGCAAATACCGAGTCTAGAAAGAACCATACAAGCATTTCCCACTACCATTCTATAGTACTAACAAGCTGTGCTTGCCAAACCATGGAACGATCAATAATTGACTGATTACGTTGTTGTCTTGAGTTCTACTAGTTGCCAGAACACTTTCGATCCGGATTCAGACGCTAATGAAGCGTAATTTACCATTTATTCAGACTTGAAACGTTTAACAGTGAAACTTCTTAGAGAAAGAATACATAAGATCTAGATAAAAAACTGCTTGTTAAATTTAAGTTATTGGAAGGCTTTTGGTATGAAAATAGAATTAGAACATACAATCATTTTTTTTTCTTCAGAGGTTTTCAGACATACGAACATTTTATACCTGCAGTATAAATTGAATCTTTTAACATTATTGGTCTCGATATGGTGCCCAAGGTTTTAACTACTGCGACTGCAACCGTCTGTACACGGCGACATATGAACACGACATGAAATTGATGTTACTAAATATTATGTTAAAGACGACAAGATTGGTTGATAATTTGTGTAATGGCTAAGATCTAATAATACTTTGAGGTGAGGTGGTGGTGGGTGGGATTAATAAACCAAAGTTCTGGCTTGGGCATTGAGGAATTTGCAGTATTGACAAGTCTTTCAGTTCACATCATACAACTCTGTCTCACATGAAAGTTGAGGCAACCGACTTCCACCACGTGAAACAGAGAATGATATTCATCTTACATTGGGACCGTTGTATACCGGAAACACTGTCGTTGATCGTTGTATACCGGAAACACTGTCGATGATCGTTGTATACCGGAAACACTGTCGATGATTGTTGCGCGACAACCATTATCGATCATAGAAATCGTCCTATAGCAAGGGGAGAAAACATTTTGTAATGTCGCATATACGTTACGATTGAGTTACCGTTAGAAGTGTTACACTTAACAGCATTCAGGAACATCCTAAATTTGTGTGAACACTAAAACTCAGTTTTTAATATTCGATAAAACCATTTATCACTCGTAAGATTTGACCTTTGTGTGCAAAATTGGATATGAATAATTATCTATTTTTATGAAAATTCTCTGGATGAAATGAAATAAATCAAAACAAGTTTTGAGTTAAAATTTTATTGGAGTTACTTGCAAAGTGTAAGTGGGTGTATTTGTGTATGTGTGTTGGTGTTTGATTTTGGATTTTTAGCGAAGATTTACAAATTTTCAATCATCTCGCTACGATGGCTGCAGTGTAGCAGTTGATAACTACTGATGTCTAGCACTGAAACATCATTTCACAGACACGTAGCATGGTGTTCCACCCAGTCACATTATCCTGACACCAGGCCAGTCAGTCCCAATACTGACCTCTTAAGGCTGAGCGTCTAGCGAGGAAAATGTAACTACCATTATTTAAAACGTCTTAGGTATAACTCAACCAGGTTTCGAACCAGCGACCTCCCGCATTCTAGGCGGACGCTCTAACCATTAGGCCACCGGTGCGGTTACTTGCAAGAAATTGTAGACAGGTTGGAAAGATGATGGTGCTTACTGAAATCCAAGAATCTTAATGGCATTATATTTTTCAGAATATGAATTAGTTTCGAATAAATATGGTAGTCTAATGAATGTATTGAAAACAGCAAAAACAAAGAAGCAAATGGTGTTTTATTTTTGATTTGGACGGAACATGAGCATGGTAGTACATGTACTGTAGCAAAAAAGAAACTTTGATGGCAGTAAAAGCAATGAAAAGGCGTGATAATAAAATGGACTTTGTGTAATGTGTTCTTATTATGACTTTTATTCATGTGAATCTATCCCCTAAAGCAAACAAAACCAATACAAACATCTAAATATATACAAATTATCATTCTGTCTTAATTTGTATTTCAGTGTTGAAAAGTTATTCACAATCACATTTATAATCTTTTGTCTCTCTCTCTCTCTCTCTCTCTCTCTCTCTCTCTCTCTCTCTCTCTCTCACACACACACACACACACAGTATTTGACTTCTCACAAAATTCAAAAATAAGTATATAAAAAAATATGGAAATTTTATGACAATATACTAATCAATGCAAAATCAATTAGGGCAGCTGTAGTAAAAGAATTAACATCGACGACTGTAAAACAATCAAAAATAGCAATGAAGCATACTCACTTAACGTTTCTCAAAGTACGATACAGGTGGTGTCTTTTGTGTATAATACAAGCTATCAGACCATAGATTATATTACAGTTAGGAACAAGTCTACTGGAGATGGGATAAAAATAGTGAGTACCAAAATATTTTGAGATGAAACCATTGGCTTGAAAATGGCTTTTTTTTCATTATACTTTTTATAAAGTTCAGTGTAAATACTTGATATTTTCTTTAGTTAGAAGATTTTATATATATATATATATATATATATATATATATATATATATATATATATATATATATATATATATATATATATATATATATATATATTCTTGTTTTAGTCGTAAGGCGGGGTGACGAGTTTGAGAATTAGTACTATCGTAATTTTAAGATTCTAATTTAAAAAATCGTTACGTATGTTACAGACAGTATTGCAGAATCATTTACTCTCAATCTGGCTGATGAGTTTGCTTTTAAGTTTTAAGTTTGCCACCTTTACTGGGAGCCAGTTGTTTTTCTCAAAAATAATATAATGTGAGACAAATTTTGTGTTATTCTGCTAGTATAAAGTGACAGAGGTTTTATTTATTAAAATGGTAAAGTATTTGTTACAATAAAATGTTTACCTTACTATTAGCGAAGCTATGCCCTATTAACTGTTCAGTGAAGTGTTACATTTTCTGAGTGACATTATAACTCAGAATTCTGACGTACTGAATCTTAGATTTACGGTAGTGTTACAACATTTATCCATAAATATATATATATTTTTAGTTGGATTGATACGTGTTACAAACATGACCTCGGCTCCTTTCTCTCCCCAACCTCTTCTTAAAAATTGTGTTCTGGACAAGAGTGAAGACACTGAGAGATAATTGCAACCATAAAGGGATCAGAAAAAATTATTTTCCTATAGTAATTAAAGTTAATATAATTAAAAATAAAATTAATTTTTGCATTAGAGTGGCATACAAACCACACATACTTCCATGCATTAGAGTCAGAGATACAAAACGTGAAAACATGTGTTTCGTAGCATTGTTTTTTTATTAATAATTTCTCTTTATACTCATGCTGAAAAATAAGGAGGTTTGTACCGAATAACAAAACTCAACAGCCATACCGAATAACAAAACTCAACAGCCATATGATATGCTGTAGGCAATAAGTTGTATAAAAATGCTATTTAACATTAATTAACACGTGCATGGGAAGGACAAAAAGATATAATACATCACACCTACATATAGAGTCGTGACGATAGTCAAAACCCACCTAGTTCTCATATTCCTATCTTTCCATCGCTCTCTCCTACCTTATAAGTGACCTATATTCTGACTACTTTTCCTTCTACTGTGAGCATAATGCACACTAAGTAACAAATACTTCTTAGATATCCATCATCACTTGAATTTTGCTTCAAATAATCGTGTTATATAGTAACTGCAACACATCATCACATACATACTAATATGAGCAGAGTTTGAAGTTCAGCTTCGCGCAAATAGGTTGTTTCTAACTAATCAACCTTGATATCCGTATAACTTCGTTTAACCAATATTTCGAAATGAAATAGTCGTTGTTGTAAATTTTGTTTCTTAAAATTCACACTCTTATTGTTGTTTCTAAAAGATAAGTCAATTCTAAAGCAAATCTGAATCGATGACTATTTTTATCGCTCTTGTGGCCTAGTGGTTAGAGTGTCATTCCCGGATGCGGGAGGTCGTCAGTTCGACCCCCAGCCGAGTCATACCAAAGGCTTACAAAATTGGGACTAACAGCTAGCCTCTCTTGGCGCTCAGCATTAAGAGGTAAGTGTTTAAACTGGTCGAACCCGATCTCTGTATAATGTGACTGGGTGGGACATTATAATACATGTCTGCGGCATAATTCCCCAGTGAAAGACATCACTATAAACTGTAACACTGCAGACATCATAGCAATATGACTGAAAAATTATAAAAGCAACGTTAAAAAGCAATCACACGCACACACACACAAACCTACACACATACACACATCACACACAGGAATATTATGTCTGTATGGATTAATTTTATGGAAAAAAATAGACTTCATGTTTGGCCTATTCATACTTGCATCATTGTGCAAGTTGTCTGCAATAGTAGTGAATGGGGATACCCTTAGGGTAATGGGACCTTAATGTTAAATATAATTATCTGCACCCTACATACAAGAGAAATTTAACATGGGTGAGATTTTCTACGGATAATGGAAATTTAGCATAGGGACAATGTATTGGGTCTGTCTAGGAACTATATGAATTTTGCACCTTCCAGGCCTGGCATCACACACTCAGCGCTGACACCAATACTGTTCCCAATTGATTGCTGTTTTGGGGAGAGGAGATGGTTAATCAGTAGCCTCATCATTCCAATTTTCACTATGAAGAATAATAAAATCTTCTCTCCTTCTATTTCACACCAGTGGATTCTGTGCCTCCTGAGAATATTTGAGCTCCCAATCTTGCCTTTGTCTTTAATTCTTCGTCCTCGTTCTCTATCTGAGGGTCCACGGGTCTCTGTAGTAGCTGTGGTACTTGGCGCTGTGGAGGGTACTCACCATTGGCTTCACTTCACAGCTCTTCCTTAGCATTAGGTGAGGCAGGACCATTTCTTTATTCTCCTCTTCTTTCTTCTTTTTCTCCTCTTCACTTTTTGCTTTTTCCAACAGGCGCCGGACGTACTCCAAGTGCATCTGGAGCTAAATCAGTTTGGCTATTTTGCTCACGTTCTTGAAGTTAACTAGTCAAAGATGGGTAGCCAGACTGATCATGATGAGATTTAATTAAGGTTGCAAGCCAGTCTGACATGCTATACTGGTTAATATCCATACACGGGGTTAATTAATTGTTCCCGTGGGAAGGAAAGAGTTCCACATCCTCCAGCACATTTATGTCCTCAAAGAGTGTTATTTAATTCAGCCAATAAAGTCCCAAACGACCTTGTATATAGGGCTATCATGAATGGGAATAGATCCAACATGCACTCATAATATTATATGAGGTATCTACCACAAAAGAATGAGACATCGAGAATGATTGAACACAGCTCTGATGACGTCATCCCGGTACCTTGCGTACACGCTCATAGTTTTACCTGTGGGAATCGGCCCACACATTCGTCGTTTTGAATTGTCTGAAGTGTCAAGGAGGGAAGGGACTCGGAGGGAGCAGCAGGAGGGTGAACAGATCCAAGTTTGAGACAGAAAAAAAGCTTCTTACGGAGGGTGAAAAATACAAGCGTCACTGAGACTTCTAATCAGGTTATTTTTTGTTTGTCAAATATATTTACCTTTAGGAGTCCACCCATAACAGAGTCAAGGGTGTAAAAAAGTAATTGGTCTCTCAACCAAAACTTTATCGAGACCTACTCGTTATCGCGACCGAGGATAATGTAAATTGCTCGTAATAAATCCATGAGTGCGTGAAAAGAAGTTTCTGAATTTAATCATATCCATGTTCCCTGAACACCAAATCTGATCAATGTTTCGCAGAGTATGTGTATCGATTCCATTAAAGACCAACATACGATTACAATTGTCTCTGATCACTTTAGGTATTTGTGTATGTCGCTGAGAAACATAAATCATGTCCGTGTTTTTGTGTCTACCCTGAGAAAATGTCCAAGCTGAATTTGATTGTTTGTTTAGCATCACATCATCGTAAGCTAAAAAATCAGACGAGGACACATCATAGTTCATCGCGATCAGGCAATCGGTGAACGATTTAATCAAACATTTGCTTAGCTGTTTTTTGGATATCAATATGCGCAAGAAATATGTCTGAACAAAGTTCAGGTGGATAAGATATCTTGTGAATAGGCTGAAAGACTACCAAGTGTAATAGCTACGTTAACTAATTAAATTACTTGCGGAATTTCTATGAAACCGACCAATACAAACACATAAAACGTATAACAATACAACTACTTTACTCCTTCTTGAAAAAGTTAGTACTAGGTAATGTGACTGTCAGATATTTACATGAATATGTTGAACATGATAACCAGCTATTTTTTCTTACTAAATCATCGTCATTGAGTGTAGTTTGATTATTATTTGCTGTGAAGTTTATTACGAATCTTCGCAACTGAGATATTCTTCTGACTCGAGATACTGCTAGATAAACCAAATTTAACCATTCAATAGGATGAACAACAATCCAGATATTTGTATTTGAAATAGATAAACTTTGTGTCGAATGAATCGTTATAGTATACCCTAGTGTCTATGGAGATTTATCTATTGTTAATGCGCTCTCAAAAATATTAACAGCAACTAAAACAATATAATTTAGTACAAGAGTTTGTTTGTCATTAATTCCAGCAATTTTAGCA